TATCGGCCGTGGTAATCTTATGAACATTTAGCGTATTCATATTGAGATGGCTGAGTTATCGAAGGTTCCTGAAGAGGCGTAATCGCATGAGTGTCTGCCAGTAAAATCACACGACGTTTACTTTTTTTATAAGAAGTAATATGTAAATGTGTCACGCAACTGGTAAATCGTGCATACGTTACGCAAATTGATTTGATACAAAAGCGAAGCCATTCAAAACTGTCTTGCAGTACAAATTAGTACTACTTAGATTTTATACAGTTGGACGGTCTAAGTGCGATCACTCTAATTAGTTTGTTTTTATTTCATGGCTCATGTCTTTTTGCTCTACATTTTGTCAATTAGGTTTAAACAAAAGCGCAAAAGTGATGCTGGTCAACTATGCTCCTTTATGCACTAGTCAATTGAAACCCCCCGCACCCCGACCCCCGGGGAATACCGGGGAATTTAACGTTTGAGTGGTGTTAAAATGAAACATTTCCCCCGGTAATCGGGGGCACATTCATTATTAAAATCCCCGCTACTGTTGTCCTGCTATTTTGGTCTAGTAGTGAATAACAAAACAAACACCTTTTAATCAAATTTTCTGTGATACACAGKGTTAGTTTTTGCACAATCCTTTGTACTCATTTGCATGCTACATGAGGCTAACTGGACGCAGAAAAACATGTGTAATTGAGTTTCTTTCATGCAAGTTTTCATGCAAGGAAAATAAACAAATAAAAGAGCAGGGTTGAATACCAATGCTTTCAGGGAACTCTAGTTTTCAGCCTCATACATGTTCAAACGCGCGTTAAAATCCCGCCCTTTGCCCCGCTTTGAAAACAATTCATCAAAATCTCGACCCACCGGGGCAATCTTGCTATTAAAACCACGTTAAAACCGCATCACGTCCCCGTACAGTGCCCCGCTAGCCCCGGGGGCTTCTTCTCTCACCCTCCCCCCTCAAACGTCTAATGGATCGCCCCTAATGCCATATCTTCTTGCTTGCAGTTGTAATATATCTCAATGGGAAAAAATCGACACTCGACAGAGATCGCAAGCAGCCTTGCTCATTCCAGAAGAAGAGAGAATTCAGCGCTCTCTATCGTTCATCGATTATTGAATCGACACATTTCTACATAACTTTGTATAGATCTTTTTTATTAGATATTTGATAGTGACAAATGCCTTGTACAGTTGTAAAAAAATAAAGGCCTATTTTCGTGTACGTTTGTTAACTCTTCTGACGAGRATCCCCGGTACTTTTAGTCCCACGGGGGAGGGGGAAGGGGTAAGGCGGAGCTCCGCCTCCCCACCCCCTCCCCTTCCGTTTTCTCCCTCCCCCCTCCCCTAGAGCCGCCACGCAGGATAAGCTTTTGCATATATTATGAACGTTGAGCAACACACTACTCCCAAAGGAATAAAAATTCTAAACAGCGCACGCCCTCAACAATGTGCGTAATGTACGCTGTTTTGAGCAGTGAAAAAGACACAACCTATTCTTCGCTTGCAGGTTACGTCAAAGCGGCCATCTTGGAGGAACTTTAACAAAGGATTTTCTCATTAGTATCTATTGTTCATTCGTCCAACATGGCCGCCGGTCTTTTATCTTTTGAATCTCATGGGAATGGGTGAAAACGATCAATGTTTATTGTCGAGTTCCTGCGGAAAGGATTTCACTAGGAACATTTGGGAAGTTCTACACGGTCACAAGTACATGAACTTTTTATCTTTGTCATACATTGACAATGCTAGCAATGTTGTTTCAAAATATATTTTTTAACATTAAATATTGTCCATTACACATTACATACCGACATTAATTGCTAACGCCAAATGATGATAGGTCAGCTTCCCAAGCTATCGTGGCACTTTCTCCTTGTTTACCAACCACTGAACTGGGCGTTGTCCAGTKTACCTCGAAACAATCTGTATAGTTTATAAGACGATTAACAAATGCACGAATCAGAATAAAGAATACATGAGCGAGCACACTTATATAAGCAATAAACGATAGCTTGAAGSGCGTTTACTAGCGAAATAAACCCCGCGGGATGGTACACGAGAAAAGATTTGTAAATCACGAGCCGGTCAGGCGATGGATTTACCTTTTCGATTGTTCTCCCAACCATCCCAAGCGGTTTATTTCGCCAGTAAACCTCTTCAAGCTATCGTTTATTGCTTTTCTTATAGCCGGCGTCCGCCATTTAAAATTAAAAGTCTTTCAAGACAGCAGGATGCTTTACCGTTGAAATAAAACATAGATTTTCTCATGAGATCCGCCAATCAGCGCGCGTGTTCGAATTGAGCTATAATATAAAGCATAATAAAATCTTTAAGATTATAACGCACGCTTTCATTGGCTGATGATCCTGCCTAGAAAACAGAGAGATGGTGTTCTTTGGTTTGGTCAGTACTTCATGTAGGACCCCATTAATAGGTACTTACTTACATATTACTGTATGAGGGTTAGGATGAGGTTAAGGGTATATGTCGGGTCCGGTCTTACATGAAGTACTACTCCGGCTTCCAACGTGTTTATATCACAGACACGCGCGTTTGCACGACCGTCATTTATCAATACTGCGGAAAAAAACGTGTTTCCGGCATTCACTTTGCGCAAGAGCATTGTTCTCGATTCCCATCGGTGCGTTTGACCTTCAAAATCGATTCAAGCTGATATTGAACTTRGTTTTTAACAAATGCTAGCGAAGCTCATTAGATGCATTCATATAAAAAGCAAAGAAACTTCTTCATTTCTTTTGAAATTGGCACTGCATTRAGAMTTGGCTTACGCCTTTGCGGTTTCCCGACCGAAAGGCAAATCTAAACTGATAACTAACTGTTCAAATAGTTATGAAGTTCTCAATGTTACCTGTTGCCGAGAGAAGTAAAACTAACAGACAAAAACSTCCGCTCTTCTTGTRCAATACATCCATAACGTCTTATAATTTCAACCGGTCTGATTGACAGGTCTTGCAGCTTCAGAATCACCGATGTATATGACGCCTTCATGTACTGCACTGCAGCAAGCGAAATGCTTTGCTTAGACTCTCTTTTGTAATGTAATTAGTCGCAATTGTTTCACACTGATTTTAAAAGGAAACAGACTTTGAATAAGACTTTGGTTGCACGCTGCAATTTCCTGTGAAAATCGCGTTGCAATTTCCGATTTTTTGTTGCAACGTGTACATTAATAAAGAGAAAATTTCACAACGTTTGGTGTTAGTGMGGCGAAGCATTTCTGTTCCTTTATGCGCCTTGTCTTATTAACAGCTTCGATAATACATGTATTTTGTCTGCGGTATGACCGATGAAATCCCACAAGCACCCCAACCATTATGAATTATCGTTTTCAAAAATTTGCAGGTAAAGTGGAGTTTAATAGCCGACTTTAGATATTTTGGCTCGATCATTGACATGCACAAAAGAATTGCAGACGATGCTCCGGGGAAATAAAAGAATAAATCAAGATTATCCATTGTTTTCCCGGAGTCTCGTGTGCGTTCTTTTATACATAGTCATCGAACCAAAATATCTAAAKTTGACTATTGCATGCATCAATGCAACTAATGCATTGCGTTCTTGAAATACATTTTGCAATATTCAGTATTCAACGCTTTTTGAGGTAGCTGTATGTCCACAAATAATAAAGCACATAGACAAGCTGATATGGAATATTACCTTTTATTTCTAAAATTGTCGATCTATACTTTACAAGCGAAGTGCATAAGAATGTATAATAGTTAAGTACATGCTTGTTAGGGCATGAATTGATTATTTTCATGGTCGTACAGCACAAATATTAATTTACATTGCATTTATCGATAACAAATGTGCAGCAATGTTTTTTTCTGTTCCCAAAGCACCATGGGAGAAGTAGTTCTCACAACCACGAAATTCCCCAAATAGGTTTTTTAGTGTTTGTTTTGTGAATTTGCATAAAGGGAACACAAAACAGTCTATTTGATTTAGCAGAAGACTTAATTTTCTATCAGTCTTTGTCCTAGAAATCACATTGCTACTGCATATTGCTTGATGCAATTAATTTGCATTATGTTGTTGTGCCACTAAAAAACTWAAAATATATTATAGCAAACACAAATTGAACAGCCAATACAACCTACATGTAAAGAGCAATTTGCTTTGAAGACCCCTTGCAGTTTGCATGAATGCAGCTTTTAATGCAGRGGGCAGTGCAATGGATTCKATTTCATAGCTGCAGTGTTGAAGTCCTTTGTATTGCCTCTAGATTCAGCTGCTTTGATGTSAAATGCAAGGGTTGAAAGCAACAATGGCAATGCTTATAACACATTGTCTAAATTATATTGTAAACACACTATACCTACATGTGGAGTTAAAAARTAAAGCAGTGTAAGTTTAATAGCAAATCAGTACACAAAAATAATTCAGTTTTACTGCAAACACCCATATTAAATGCCAATTCTTGCATACCGTATTTACCTGAATAGACGCAGCRACTTTTATTTCATTTTTCACGAACCAGCTGCAGCATTTATTCGAGGGCGGCATTTATTCAAAAACCACTTTATTCAGTACTAAATACTGTACTTTGTATTGTATCTTTGCACCCAGATGCAGCGTTCTATTAGGGGGCGGCGTCTATTAATATTTTGCGTTTTTTAAAGTATGCGTTTATTTGAGGGTGGCGTCTATTTGAGTAGATATGGTATGTCAAATCCAATGATTAGTAGCAAGTAGGAAAGAAAAAAGGATGAGAGAAACTTACATTGAATTTACCACATTTGCTCTATGAAATCATGTGTCTTTTTGAATCTCTTTTAATTTTGCAATGTTTTCTTGTGTCAGTTTTAAGTAGTAATCAGAATCATAAGGGCTGTAGTCTTTATAGACAAGACCTGGAGCTTTCTTAGGAACAGCCTTCTCAATTTGAGTTCCYTCATGCCATTCATTAAAAGATGTGATTGAAACAATCTCMGGCTTTACTGTCAAWGCATTCTTCCAACTTTTCATGTAATATTCSCCATTCTCTCTTAGACGAGTGTTTTCYGAGTTCCATGGACGAATGCTTGTGTCTATATATCCTGGCCCTACACTTGGAATAAATAAAGTTTGGGTTTGCTTGGCAAAAGAGGCCAGTTGTGGCCATATTCTCCATGTTGAGCCATAGCTAAAGCCACTGGTAGCAAAGTARGTGTATAGTCCATCAAATCCMCCAATGGTAATAGCGTCCTTGTGGGATGATTCAACTACTAGTGCTATAAACACACAGTCATATTTTGTTTTTCTAATCGWGTGTGAGCCATTCATTRTTAAAAGCTTAGCCCAGTCTTTAGCAGGAGTGCGATATGAGTCATAGATGTACAGCAAAGGCATAACTCTACCATCCCTGTATTTATATTTGTAAAAAGCTTTATGGTTAGTATATTTGTCAATAATATATTTGACATCTTCCTCTAAAGTTTCATCATTGCGACCTTTGTATGGCTCAATATGAAAAGTCACCCTYAAGTCATACATGAGGGCAATGTCCAATAATGTTGGTATTAAAGAATCAGGRGGGCCACCTTGGTCATCTGCTTTCCCAGGGGGGTACCATGACACTGCAAGCACCCCAACACCMGCATAGCACAGTTGTTTCATATGGTTGTGAATCACTTTGATGTCATGTGAGCTGTAYGGACCAAGRGCKGGGTAGAAATTTGATCCAATGTCTTCAGGGGGGACATGTGCTCCCTTGCGATACTTCTTTGCAATTTCCGGTCTCCAGTGAGGTARGAATTCATGGTTCCAATGCAWGTATTTGCCATCAATCTTAGGGTTTCCATACCAACCATAATAAAATACATGAACGTTGTAGTTAGGTGGTGGGCCTATTACTTTATCACGCCTTGTGGCATCATCTTTTTGTTTATCAACGCCAACTAATTTATCCTTCACACCTTTCAGCAACGACAGAGCGTCTAATTCTTTATCGTCTTTAAGGATTCTTAAGTCATACCTTGTTAGGTTTCCAAATTTGAATGAGATATTCAAGTTTTTAGATTTGTTTTTTAAGTCATCCAGCAAAGCATGTGGGTCGAGCCATCTCATCCATTCAGTATCGTCTCGAGTGATTTTGAGTCTACGAAGTCGTTCTTCGTCCTCGTTTTCAGTCGAASTGATTTTCTTCATTAWGAAAATGCAACCGAAAAGAAATACAGCTGCAGCAAGGATGTAGATTAGGCGTCTTCGTCTCGGAAAAACAACCATAATTTAGCATTGAGCACGTTTTKTGACAACAGGTTGCCTCGTTCTACGCTTCGCTTACTTTRGCGTTCCGTAAACAAAGGTAAGAAATAGCTTGAAAATTTGATGATACTTTCATGAAAGGGTATGTTAATATGCTGGTTATTGACTCAGTTGGCTGGCGTAATCGCTCTATAATTATCAAAAACTAATGAATTATTCCCAAAGAGATTCCAYGTCTCCGTCCGCCATCTTGTTTCTGAATCCACGAACACATATGCGGGGTTACGYATTTGCGCAAGCTCCAAATATAAATACAAAAATGGCGGCGAGCGGAAGGGTAAATTTGTACTTTTTTACAATTTTATAACAAWTTTTCGTCTTTCAAGATACTCTTTGGATTCACTATGGGTAGCTGTTAAATATTCTAGCTCGAAGAACCAAGAKCAGTGATAAAATGGACTTAAAACCGATTGTAACTTGTAAGTTAATAACTAATTTTAGTCTCCGAATTTTTCTACTCTGTCAAATGACATAAGCTTACCACACGAAATTGTTTTGACCATTATTTTGCTTGTTTTATCTRATAATTTCAAGGTTTTGGTGAGAGTAGCGTGTACAAGCAGCTTAACCCGGAACTAGAGAGAAGGTTGCCAGATAATGCCACTGAATGGCGAAGGTTCGTCCCAGTTTTCATTCACAAATCTATCCATTTAACAAATGCTCCATTTTATAGTTTTAAACGCCATCTTGAAAGGTAGCCAAGCATCATAGCGAGACAGGAGGTGAGTCTGCAGTGATAGATACCTATTGTTCACACCTATGACAGTTATTCACAGGTATCTATTATTGCATGCTCAATGGTTGTCTTGCTTTGATGCAAAGGCTCAGCTACCTTTCAAGATGGTATTGTAAAATGGAGTATTGYWCATGGTTTTATGCTRTATGTCCTCTTATTGACACACTCTTGACRTCATAAAATKTTCAAAACTYGAGTGGACCYACGAAYRCAKCRACACACTCYAATCTCTCWYTYAAGTGTGKTAAAAATTCTTGTWTTTCAACACTTAATTTCTTTTRATAAATCATGCATCMAATAAATATTAATTAAATTAAATTTATATGAAATGGACTTTACTTTTGCCTTCATTCAGGTCTTATGGYAGACCRCCAAAGACAGTCAAGCTCAAAGCCAAGTTTGTRAACTTACAAGAAAGCATGCTTATTGGGAATATTGAAAATGCATCTACACTGCATCGGCAGCCATTTTTCCACATCTACTGGACTGATTGCCAGGTATACTTATATTAGCTGTAGCTCTATACTAATAGGGAATGGACAGCAACGTCATTGTTGTACAGCAAAGCATGATGGGAGTTGTAGTCCTGACACTTTTTGCAGCCCCTACAATATCTCCCCAACAGTTGTTTTTAATGTTTTCTAATTCAACACTTTCTGTAATGCTCCAGTTTCGAATTCTCTTCTGGGCAAGCATAGCTTAATCAAGCTTAAATTTTTATGTTCTTCTTTGTGCACAGAGAATGGATCTCTGCTGAATAAAAGAATATATTACATGCTGCACAAATAAGATCTCGTAACTGGAGTATTCCCACAGATATTTAACAAATATACTMATTTATACCTATACTAATTTAAGCAGTCCAGTTTAAAGCTTGATTTTGGAGTCGCAGATAAATTTTGTATTAAAAGATGAAAGAACAAAAGAATGGATTATATGATGTCATTTACTCCAATGTTTTTTCCCAAAATCTTTAAAACTTTGTACCAATGTCATATTAAAAAATATTGGTTATGTTGGTTAGACTTATAAAATTTCAAGCCTTTCCCATTTTTTTTGGCAAATAGTCCTGGAATTTTGTGATGAAATTGTAGCATGGTCCTTGTAACATTTAAAAAATGAAATTTCAGGATGTTGATGAATACAAAAGCAAGATCAAAGACAGCATCAATGAATGGCAAAGAAAGCTGAAAGACAGAGGCATTGTAGACTTYCTGATAATCCAAGTCATAGCTGCTGAATCAATCAAAGGGAACAAAGCCAAGATACAGTTCAGAGGGTCTGTCTTTGATAAGGTTAAGAGTGACTTTGGTGGCAAGAATAATGACAGGTTTGTTGAATAGCACACTGTTATGTAGGAAATATAAAACAGCGCGCATGTCTCTGTCCTCTGATATAAACACGGTGGGAGTTCGAAAAACACGAGAGAAGCAAGCTTAGGAACACGAGCGTAGCGAGTTCGAAAAACACGAGAGAAGCAAGCTTAGGAACACGAGCGTAGTGAGTGTTTCTCTTGCTTCTCGAGTGTTTTTCAACTAAACACGGTCGTCAGCCAATCAAAACGCGCGTTATATATCAAAAATTTTACTAATACATTTATAAAATTCATTAATAATTCATAAGGTAAACACAATGGAAAATCATTGCCGTGACCCCATCTTTATATGAGCAAGAGATTTATCCTGATTTGCATACGACTTATTTGTATACGACTTATGTTGNCGTGCGTGCCATTTGAATCTCCCGCTCTTTTCGCTTGTTCCGGTTGACGAGCCTACCATTTGAATTTCCCGCTCTTTTCGCTTGTTCTGATTGACGTGCGTGCCATTTGCACTTCTTGCTCAACATTTGGTCGTAACAATCGTAAAGTCGTAGTTTACATGCTATGCTACTAGCTGTAAGAAACACAAACGCTTTGTTTTTAAAACTAACCGCCAGTTAGAGCAAAGTTTGACTGATTGGCGGCAATACTATCTTTAATATGTTTGACTCTTTACCCTCAAATATGTTTTTAATGATTCTTAGTGTGTTTCATCCCATTATTTCCAGACAATAGTGACGTGGCGTCGTTTGATGACGAGCCTTATATGCCGCACCTCACTAGAGTAGAGTCAGTCAAGTCCATGTTACGAAGCACCGAGGAACTGCCTGTCGCTAGAGAAGAATCGGACGCCATATTGGATTGCTCGAATGTCCCATTGGTTTATGGYCTTAATCACTACACGCTTACAGTACAGGTTGGGAAATGATAAAGGATGTTAAAAAAGGGGATATAGTACTAAGTACGATGGGAAGTGTAATCATTACAGCTTTTGTTCATGTACACTAAAGCAACCCAAATAGACTTCTGAACCTTTTACGTCACAACCTGATTTCTAATGCACTGTGAGATCATTTTCTATAGAAAGCAAAAGAAATCCGCCATGTTTTGTCACAAACATATCCTACAATTTATTACGTATACGGTGCATGACGTAAAAGCTTCAGAGGTCTATTACCGTCTCCACCTTCTATTTGTGCAAGTTACGTCATCACCGCCATGTTGGATGAAAATCACAAAGCATTCCTCATTATTTTCTCTTGTTCATTCATCCAACATGGCGGCGATAGCTTTGTTCTTTTTTTGTTCTTTGTTCTTTGTTTATTTCTCAAGGGATTCCTGGCCATGTGGTTGCACACCAAGAAAAAAAAAAAAAAAAAAAAAAAAAAAATGGAAACGGAGAACTTTGTGATCGTATTTAGCGTAGACTACTACTTCATATGCTTTGTTCTGGCAAATTGCGTCGCTTCAGATTACTTATACATCTGTCTTTCATCAAATAGAAGGCTGTCTTAGTCATGCGAAGTAGTGCTGATCTGTATGAACCCTGTATATGAGATCTAGTAGGGCAAAAGCGTGCTGCTTCAAGGGAGGACTTGATACTTAGTATTAGTACCATGATGCACTTCGCCAAATCAGCATGACGTCATGATGACAGAAAGTCATTGCAAAAATTAGCAGTCTTATTAGCAGTCTTTTTAAAGTGATAGTACTTAGAATAAACAATAACACATTTATGTTACGACGTTTCGAAGTCATCTTGACTTCATTTTCAAGTATCTTTTTCTATTGTCAATTGTCTAATGTACAAGATGCTTTATATTCGGAACAAAGGACCAAGGTTGAACGTTGAACTCGATACACGACAAGGTGTTTTTGTAGTTGTGTCCAACACCTAGTTGACATATTGTTTTTCCTTCTATTGTTGTTGTACGACATATAAGTACAGAATTTGAATCCCATTAAAAATACTTGAAAATAAAGTCAAGATGACGTCGAAACGTCGTAATATAAATGTGTTATTTTTTATTCTGAGTAATAATTAACAGCTTAAGATAATCTTGATCTTTTTATTTCTATAGGTACCCGATGAAGGTCAATATTTCTTAAAGCAACTATGCGTTGAGATTGGACAGCTTAACTTTGTATGGCCACAACTTACCCTACCACGGGAGGCTAGGGTATTTTCTGTTGTGTCAGACCCCCCAANAATGAAGGAGAGTCAGTTTACAAAGTCTGTTGAGTCCTGGCAGAGTCTGGTCTCCAAGTTAAGACAACTACTRTTGATCTCATTTAACCGACACTTAGGCAAGTTTGAAGACAATGTCAGAGCTTTAAGAGAGAAGAGAACAGAGTCCAGATGGAGCTTTACTACGTATTTCTTACTTCATGTAAGTATAATAATTAATGGTAACTTATAATAATCTGCCAGCCTCTATTAAGCAATCACCTCTGGTCTTTACCCAGCTGTGATCACTCAAAGGGACATGGTCCACTAGCATCCCTTTCAAGCTTTTTGTCCTATTTAAAAATAAAAATACATCGTAATATAAGCAAAACGTTACTCTTTATTATCCCTTTATACTATATGAATGAAAAATATATTGTAAGATTCGATCTTTAATCCGATTGATGGAAACCGATTGCAAATTGATAGCCACATCATTTTCCATGAAAAATCTAAAACATGACTGCATTGATTGCTGGTGGACCATGTACCTAGTTAAGTTTTACTTACTATAGATGTATTCATGTGCATTTTCTCCTATTACCCACCACTGAATCTACAATCCATTCCACCCATCCGCCCATCGGTCTGTCCGTCCGTCCAATCTAATCATTGGTTTGTTAAAGTTTCTTATAAAACTTATTAATAATGCATGAGCTATTACTCCAATACGGGCTGTCCATTTAATCAGGTGATTGACCTTGTAAATCTGATACAACACTAGTGTTGTATCAGATTTACAACACGGTCGTCACCATTGAGACAACCCAACACTAGCAAAGGTCTCAGTTTTAGTATCGCATCATAGACATTCACTAGGTTTTGAAGCAATCAAAGAGAGATAACAGAACTCGCTTATGCAACAGATGGCTTGCTTTCCATGTGGGATGGATAATTATTCAAAATGTTCTATGTTGCAGTAAATTGCACATGCTTAATAGCGACTAAACTCAGCAGTTACCTTAATTGTCATTTTTCGTCATTTATCTCACTGTAATTCATGTTAATTTGTGTTGGAGTTTTATAAGTCGTTTACAACATTCGCGTCCGTGTTGTATGGGAATTACAACACGGCCGCTCATGTTGTAAACTATACTTATTGTATATACGTCAGGTCAGACATGTAGTCTGCTACTGGTAACATTGTAATCCAGTACAACCTGCCTCATGGACGGGTCGTCGGCGTCTAAACCDKCACMYCCACCAGTCTACACTGGTGAGGAGGGTGGCATGACWCCCAGCAGGACTAAAAACAAAACCTGTCAAAGCGCGAATGAGCTTGGTTAAGCCACCGGGCATCATGCAAAAACACTTGCTTATTGTGATGTAAATCTGATTGTTGTACTTTAATTTTTAGTTTGAGATCTTGGGACGGACTGTGCAGCGGCAGCCAGAGGCGCCAACTCAATCTCACAGTCTACCAAGACTCTCATGTGTTTTGTAGTTGTCATGTAGTTTTAAAGCGCTTAGAACAGAATTGGATAAGCGCTATATAAATAGGATTATATTATTATATTATATTATATAGGAAGAGCTAGCCTTTGTGTTTGAGATGATGGGTCTATATGAAGAAGCTCTCATTCAATATGATGAAATCGATGCCTTGCTCACACAGCTTATCATCAACTCCAAATATGGAGGTATATATACAATAAACATGTGACTAATATGAACCAATAGGAACTGTGAACATTTTCTGTTCATTTTCGTTCTCGGGCATTTAAAAAAATGGACCTCTTTTTTGCCTTCAACGTTCAGCTATTGGTACCCATGTCACTGACATGTGCAGAGCTGTATAAGAAAGAAATGCAGAAAATGTTAAACATTTAAAGTTTGATATTCAACCAAAAATGCGCACAAATAAGCAATAAGTATTTTAGTTTTGTTACAAAAACGATCAGGCTAAATATAAAACAGTGAATATCAAACAACATGCAAATGTAGAAAAAAAAAGATTTTTAAAATCACTTAAAATCAAATACCATAACCCTTATAATTATATCAGTTTTCAAATCACTAGAAAATAGTGCAGTAGTGTACAATATTATCAAATTAATAGGCGAATCTTAATGTTTACAAAATTTTGCTAATTAGCATAAAGTTTAAATTAAAGAAAACTGTAAAATAAGTTTATAATCTGTAAAAGGGCTTATTAAGAACTATAAACTACGAAAGTTTGAGGTCATTACATGGAATAGTTTATAAGATATTAGTGTTCAAAAATGCTGAGTGGCAAAAGCGCTAATTAGCTCATATAATCTCTATAAAGATTGGAGTTTTTAAAACCGTTTTACGCAAAAAGTATTTCATATGAGAAGCTCAAAATTGCGTGGAAAGCTTATTGTTCAATGTTGCTTCAATATTCAGTGCTGATTTACTGATAGTTAGGTTAAAACGTTATATCCTTATGCTAATGATATGTTAATGAACCGAAATGTAAACAAATTATTTGCCTATAGGAAACACTATTAATATTTATTTATTATTAATATATTTTTTACCAGAATCACTAGCATGTATTGATATCTTCATGAGAGAGTGTAAATGTTGTGATGGCGTCCCAATGTCAAGCGGACCACAAGCCTTTTTACGGGAATTAATCAAGACTCAAGAAGCAACTTTTGTGGATCTTCGTCACT